AATAAATATTCATCTAAAACACAGCTGTTTGTTGGCTCATTATTTGAAAAGTCATTTCTCATGATAGGATTTATAATTACAGTATGTTCGACAGCACCAGGCTCATTCCTTTCAATGCAAAATAAATCATCTCTTTCTTTATGGGGTTGGAGATGTACTCTGAATCAATGTGTAAGATGAATAACTTTACTATTGCACCTGGGCAGAGAGCCAGTTGGGCCTTAACCCTTAGCCTACCAGGGACATCAATTTTTTTTTTATTAAAAAATAAAAAAACTTAAATGGCAATGTAGTGAAAACAATGTTTTGATGGCAAATTTGTATCTAATAGTTGTTTGGTTCTGAAGCTTCCATGGTCTTTGGCTGCACTTCGGTGACCAGATGTTGTTAACATCTGTGACCTCTCTGAAACACATCCATAGAACCTGTGAGTGATGTTTATATATTTCCAGAGACAGAACACCTAATCTGCAAGCAGTTGGAACAATTAATACACATATCAAGTATTTAAACACCTCTTTGTTTTTTGGATTTGTACTAAAGGCGGCCTTCTGTGTGTGAGCCAGAAAGCACTGGATAGTGAGCATCAGTTTCATCAAGGTTTAACAAAGTCCGACCATGCAGGGTTATCCTGACGCCAATGTTACCTTTGGCCTGGCCAAGGAGATGAGCCAAAACGACATCCAACGTGTCAACCGGCTGTACTGCCTCAAGTAGTTACACTGAAGTTTCTCTGACTATACATTTCTGTCACTGTGGACTCAGCATCATGCCACCCTGTTACTCTTTCTGCTGGGTGGAGGCAGTGCCATGACTGATGTCTTTAAGCATCCATTTCACTTTACATTCTGCTAGTTTTCTCTTCCTTAATAAGGAAAGTCCTGATTTAGATGAGTGATTAATTTTCTTGTTTCTTGAAAAGGTGTTTGGAATCTCTTTTTCATTTTACTTTGATTAATAAATATTCATCTAAAACACAGCTGTTTGTTGGCTCATTATTTGAAAAGTTATTTCACGTGATAGGATTTATAATTACAGTATGTTATATAATATGTTCCACAGCACCACCCTCACACCTTTCAATACAAACAATCCTCCCAATATCATCTTTCACTTTGTTAAACATGACACAGTCACATCAGAATCATGTTTAATGGCCAAGTATGTTCGAACATACAAGGAATTTGACTCCTGTGCGGAGGCTCTTGGTGGGTTTGTGGGCAACAGGAAATAGAAAATAACAACAAGAATAAAAAAATAAAAATAAAACATTAAAAAAATTAACTGTGTGAATTCAAATGGGAAATATGTGGAATCAAACATAGGAGAGAATGACAGGAAAAGAGACTATTTATAAAAACATGTACATCTATATACTGTACATTATGGTAGAAGAGCTTTCACACTGATGTACACAATGACTGCTGTGTCCAGTCATACAGTCATGGGTTAACTGTTCATCTAAGTGATGACTGAGTAATTATTCCAAGTCATGACACAATTCTTTTCAGCTGAGATTTAGGAATGAAATAATTAACATTTAATGAGGCTTTACTCCCTGATAGATGTTTTGTACAAAAAACAACCTGTTTAAGCTTAATGTATGAAAAAATCACCTCTTTCTTTATGGGGTTGGAGATGTACCCTGAATCAGTGTATAAGATGAATAACTTTAGTATTGCACCTGGGCTGCAGTGCAGATTTTCTAAACTGACCTGCAAACAGCCTACTGTATAGCTCTTTTGTTTTAAAGAGTGCACCATGCAGCAATATTGCTGCAAACACAGCACACTGATCTTTTATTTGTATATCACCAATTCACAACAGTAATAGTTTCAGGGCACTTTGCATAATCAGGTCTAGACCTTACACTACTATGAGGAAAACCCAACAAGTCCCCTTTCAGCTGCGGGAAGGAAAACCTCCCTTTAATGGAAGAAACCTCTGACAGACCCCAGCTCTTGGAGGGTGGCCTTCTGCCTTGACCGGATGGGGTGAGTGGATAGAGGAGAGAGGAAAGACAAGAGAAGCATCAGGACACAAGAGGTTGTTATGGTGCCACGAAACATCAGAAGACAAAACATAACATGCTATATACTTTTCTACTCTCCACCACTGTCCTACTAGGATTATAGTACTATACAATACTATACAGTATCCACAATATACATATACACAGTACACATACAGTACATACACTATATATATATATATATGTGTGTGTGTGTGTGTGTGT